TAATTCACTTTTTTGGAGAGGAGTACCTGGAATATAAGAAGCGGGTGCCCACAGGCCTGCCTTTTATAAAAGGGGTCAAGGTGGAACTATAACACTGCAGGAGCGGGCCAGGCTGGGCCGAGGGGCCTCCACTCTGCACGTAGCCCGGGCCCACGCTGCCTCCGGTCAGCCACTCTGCCGAATGGAGTCTCTGAACCATTTTCTATGTCACCAATTACTCTTCTGGAATATCACTCAAGACCAAATGGTCAGAAGGCCTTAGGACCAAAAGACCCCACACCCTAGAGCAATCTGTTCTTGGGCTGAATCAAGGTAGGACATAGATCAAAGATGGACAAAGAGCAAATAACAGCAATACTCTACAGTGCCCCTCCAGAAGGGCCCTGGTGAGAACCCAGGCCACGCACCAACCCCCACGAGGTATTTAGTGTAACCAAGACCCCTGAAGAGAGGTGGACTCATTACGTTGAGTAAGGCTTCTTTGGCAGGAAGGGGTATGTGGGCAGCAGTGCTTAGTGTTAGAAATACATTCAAAATCCTTAACTGAAAAACACAAACAGCACAGCTTCGACCTCCTTATTTCTGTGCTTAAGTGCATGAGCATCTATACAGTTTTAAAAATAATTCTTTATAAGGCACTTTGGCTCTTAATATATTTAATCGTATTGACATATCTATTTTTTATAAATAGCAGTATAAATTCAAAGGGGATTCGGTGTTTTGGCCCCAACTTTTGTTTGGCAGAAAGGCAGCATGGACACCACCAGGCGATTTGGCTGAGTGGCTTTGTGTTCACAAGGGCACCCACGCCAGGGAGACTGTGGGCCCCTGTGGCTTTCTCTGGGATCTCGGCTCCTGCTCTTCTCCCAAGAGGGGCTGGTATTAGTGGCACGCTTGTCAGAGATGTGTCGTTTTTCTTTTATCCGAGAAATGCTAACTGCACACCGCTCTGTGTAAGGCATTGTTAAACCTTGGGAAGTACTGTTCTCCATTTATTTGGGATTTTAGTCTCATCGCTTCATAGCTTATATTTTTGTGTTTCAATTGAAATCTATTAAGTATTGACTTCTATGTTCTGTTCTCAAAATTCCACCAATACTAATGCCATTTCAGACTGTCTTTTCCAAAGGGGTTCAAGCATCTATACACAATTCAAGCAAGTCAGCTCACAAAAGTCTTAAATAGAGCAAGTGATCCCAAATGAGATTTAGTCAGTATTTTTTTCAAGTCTGGGGAGAATGGTTGGCTTTAAACACATCAGCTTTAAGACCCTTGTGAATCCTGGACAAGAGAGGGCCTTGGTCTCCACGTGAAATCCTTCCTGCAGTTCGAGGTGGCGCGAATGAAGCCCGCGCATGAAGGCAGCGGCCGCCCCTGGCTGCAGTGCTGCCTAGCTGCCACACTGCACGCACCCAGCGGCTTCAAGGAGCCACTTAACCTTTCCGTGCCTAGACTCCCCATCCGTAGAATGGGGTCAATACCACCTACCTCATAGGGGTGTTGTGAAAACTTAGAAGAACAACGTCAGACCTTTTTAATACATAGATAAGAGAGATGGCATAAATGGAATCTGTACTGTGTGAGATTGCACAGACCTGGACCCTGGTTAGCTGTACCAGACCCTGGAAATGTGTGTTCAAAAGAGCATGTTACCAACTCAGAAATATTATTGATTTCTATATTTCATGGCCTAATGAATTTTTTCGTTATTATATATACCAAAGAGGTTTACGGGTTTGTTGATAACTGGAATGACACTCTTCTGGTGTGAGTGGACACTACCATTGGCCCTTGAGAGGGCCTCACACCCAGGCCGGCCAAGGCCACTGCTGGAGCTCTCAGCAACGGGTCCCACTGACACGAACACTCCCCAGTGGGACGTCCACATGCACTTAACTCTGGGAACTTCAGTTGAATCAGTTCTGATTTGTTCTCCAGGCCACACTTAGCAAAGTAAACTCCACTCATCAGGATTACAGAATGGAGGAGGGCGTGGCTGGGGTTTCGGCAGCCATCCCCAGCTCCTGGAGGGAAAGTTCTGTGCTGCATATAGCAGGATTGGATCCAGCTTTCATTCCCATGGGGATGCTGTGAAGTTATCTTTAATAGATGGAGAACAGCTAATGATGGCCCCTGGCTCTGTGGACAGAAAGTTGGAAGATGTTGGCATTTGGTGATCTCAACTTTGTCTACCTGCTGGAGTTCACGAAACCCACCTTCTTGCCAGGCCCTTGAGCTCAGAAGGTAGGCCTGGTGTTTTGTAGTGAGATGCTGCCATTTACCACCTGGTCTGTAAGAGCAATCCCGTGGGCCAGAGTAGGGAGACACTCCCACCCTGACTTGTATACCCAGGACAGAAGTCAGCAGTTACTTAGGGAGAAAAGATGAACTACATAGGGGCAGGACTTGGCAAGTGATTGACTTTCATCTAGTACTGACATTTCCAGATTATTTTTAACTTTGTAAATTTAGCAATGACAGTGTACACAGCAGAGAATCAGGTTAATGAAGTACAGGGTTTTTGGGTATTCCCAAAAGCTTTTTGGGTATTCCCAAAAGCTTTTTGGGTAAAGGCCGTATCACCAGTTCCCTCAAATTAAGAAACTGTCAAGAGATGACTTACTTTTTCCATTGTGGGTTTTAAAGTGGAGATTCTTAAATGGAAAAAAGGCAATGCACAGAGCAAAGCTACTTTGAAGCAGTGTAAAATGAAACATTCAATGAAGCTTTGCAGACTTGCTGAGAATAGCAGTTTACAGAAAAGAGGTAGTGAGTAGGGTGAGCTTGGCTGAAAGCAAAAGGCAGCATACCCCACTGTCCCTTCATCATTTGTAGGAACTGCTTCTTGAGCCTAAAGACTACACTTTATTATTAATCCTTTCCATTTATTTAACACTCTGAGTGATTGACATGATAGGGAAATATTCCTAAATCAATACATGTGTTAATGGCTTAGGCTCCGGAGGGTTGGCCGTAGCTCAAGCTCATCTGGTAGCAGTCCCTCTGTAGTAGGTACAGTAAACCACTGTCCCTTCTCTGCACTTTCTTACTGCCTTAGATACTCGTGCTCTCCCACCGTATCTCGCTTCTGTAGTGACTTGATGAGGTTGGTGGGAGAGGCTTGCTCTCTGTGCCCTGCTGTGAGAGCTTGACGCCTTGCCCTGGGCTTGGAGGGCCAGCCTTCAGGGTGATCCCAAGCGCTTGCTCTAGAGGAAGCCGTCCCATAGCTAGGAGAGTAATTTAATGGAGTAATTATTCTACTCTTCTTTTTACATGCAGAAATGTTTATTTAAATATTTTAAATTGGATTTTCTTTCACAGATACTGAATATTCTTTCCAATTCTTAAATAAAACTGTACTTGATTTCACTATGAACCATAGTGTGGTTGTCTGGGATGTAGAAACTAAGATCATGTCACCTCTGGCTAAGAAATGTCCGGTACCTACAGCACAAAACCAGATGTATTTTGGTTTGGTTTGGTATTTTGGCCCACTCAACTCAATTCTGAATTCTAATCTCTAACCAGTTCCTTAGACAGGTTCCTCCTGCCCTTTAGGCTCCTGTGGGTTTGTGATGCTCTTGAATGAGAACGCCAATGCTCCAGAACAGCAGGTGCAGAGGTGTTGGGTATTGATGTGATGTTTTCATGTATTCATTGTGGGCCGACCTGGCATATGGAAGCCATTCACTGTTGGAACTACCGAATCAAGCTGGATATCTGCTTAAAATGTGACTGTGTGGGCATTTTACCTCCAAAACTTTAAATTTTAGGTCATCTGGGTTAATTTTCCTTTTTAAGCATTTCTGAAGTTGCACCTGATAGAAGCCTCACATTATCATTATATTAAAGTACCAACTTGAATTACTATCACTAAAATAATATAACACAGAGCGTACCGACTATTTAAAATCATACAAACTTATCTTCTCCTTTACTTTACCAACACCATCCAACACATTCTCATAAAAAACTATTATCCCACATAACATTCTTACATTCTCCAAATTCTCCATTTAAAAAAAAAAATATACTACATATAACTGATTATTGTTATAACAATCCCTATTTCACTTTAACTTACAACCCTGAGAATTGCACTTTCGCACCCCCGGTCGCCGCCGCTCTTATCCACTAAAATATAAAAATATAAAATACAATTTATAAACAAACAAAAAAACATCTATCCACCACCCCCTCTATAACTCTATCTCTATCTTCATATCACCTTTTCTTTTCCTTTTTACCTTACATTATTCTCAGTGAGAGTGATGTAGAGAGAGTGAGTAGAGAGAGATATATAGTAGATAGAGAGAATTTCTTTACCAAACGCTTATCCCGGGGTGAGAAATTAGTCCCCTCTCCGTTTTCTCTAACACGCTATCACGACCCCCCCCGCCGTCGCGCGACACTGCAACACAGACGAACATAGGTGGCCAAGAGGTGAAGCTACTAGATGGATGTCAATTTTTCAAAATATCCACGTGGCCTTTATTCCGATACCACTAATATACACTTCAAATATCCCATAATAACTCTTTATATATAATAAAATCAACATCTCAAATAAACATCCCAAACTCACCACCTACACAGGAATATATTTAAAATTTATATCCTCACTAAGAGAAATACCCTGTAACGCGCGGAACCACACATCTCATCACAACAACAAATACAGTCATTTCCTTATCATGCTCCGTCACCACACTGCCACCATCATGAGTTATATGCTAAGAAGGGTGTACTGTGTGTGTAAACACGTTTATTAGAGGATCTATGAGGCTCTATAATTGATGGATGTTTTGTGAGGCTGTTCAGCGTCCTGTGTACCCTCTGGTGGATTTTGGTATTTTAATTTGCAGTCGTCAACACTCACACACTCCGCGCTCATCTCCTACACTCTTCTCTGCTCATCTCGCGCTCACTCTCTCACGTTCTCCCTCGCTCGCACTCACACACACTTCGGCTGAAATCTGAGGTGGAGGTTTGTGGAATGCTAAGCCTTTCTGGAAGGCACCAGTGGGTGAACCAGAACCTTATCTCATAAGGGATTCTCCTCTCATTTCTAATGATTTTTAGTTACCAAAATATCAGCAAGCAGTTCAGGCCTTCTCAGTGCCTTGTGGTGACAACAGGTTTGAACTGACAGCCCTGGAGCATCCGAGCAGAACGTGGTGGCAGGGAGAGTGAGACTAGTTTCTGTTCTATCACCAGCCACTCTAGAGCAGCAGACTGCTCCAGGCCCTCCAGGACCTGCCAGCTCTGATTTTCTGCAGTCCTGTTCTCCCATGTGACGAGCACACTTCACTGAGAGCAAAATACTAAGAGAGCAGCCTATGACAGCGATGTATCTGTTCCCTGCGCATTATTTTTTCCCTCTGGCAAGTATTTTGGCAAACACCTTGTCTCCAGTGAATAGTGATGCTCTCACATCGAGAGAAGAGCCTCAGTCACTTTTTCTCATTTAAGTGAATCTGAGTCACTTCGTGTAAGTGCATGTGAGGCCAGTCTGCTGTGCTTGCAGCCCTCAGTGTTGTGCGTGCTGCAGGCAGCAGCCAGGGCCATTTATAATTCTAGAATGCAGGTCACATCTGTCATCTCTGAATACACTGCCCAGGTTGGGAACCTCTCTGGCCCCATTTTTGACAAACAGACCCAGCCAAGGCTGTAGAGCTGGTCATCGGCAAGCCTGGGCCAAATGGGAAAACCTGGGGCCTGTCTCTGTGCCTCATGTTTGTCCCTGAGATTGAATCACTTACCACTTGGACTGGAGAGACATGCCTTAACTGGCCTGAGTCTCACCATTGGTGCTGTCATCATGCATGTTTTGTAGGTACCCCAACTGCTCGTCCGCTGGCACCTGAAACCTGTGTGAGAGGAACAGTTCTCAGGAGGCTTGAAGGCAGCAGAGCGGGCCACTGCCTGTCCTTTAGCTCCCTCTTTAGACAGGACCAAACTGAAAGAGACAATCCAGGGCCTGCCTAGGGTTTGGATCCTTAGATCTTGACCGAGAACTGGCACTGCTCTCATGACAGCTATGTTGTGGTCAGGAAGACATGCTGAGGATGGGAAGAAATCATTACAGGGCCAGGCAGCAGGAAATGGCAGGAGTGGAGACGTGTGACAAGGATCCCTGGGACAGTCTGAAGCAAGAACATTCCAGGCAGAGGCTAGGAAGGGGGAACTGGTCTGACTTCCAGGGAACTGGAAGACCGTTATGACTGGGGTGGTGAGGGGCTGGTTGAAGGTGGACAAGGAGGGTCCCAGAAGGGCTGTCAGGACTTGGAGTAATGGGAATTTTAGACTTTAAGAAGATTGCTGGCCATGGAACACCCTAGAGGGGCAAAAGAAGGTCAGTGCTGGTGGCCTGGCCTGGGGCTGCCATGGGGACAACACTGGGCTGAGACTGTTGTGTCAGCAGGACCTGGGGGTTGGTTGGAAACGGAGTGAGGAAAGGAATCAGAAGACCCTTGGTCTTCTCACTTGGCCATCTGCGATTGGGGGATCTGAGGTACCTATGATGTGTCCCAAGTGGAGACTCCCAGGAAGGGGCAGCTAGGAGCCTGGAGCTCAGGAGGGCCTGTGCTGGGGAGGGCTTTGAGATTGTCACAGTGGGATTTTAAAATTGGGAGACTTCTATTTTGTATTGGTTTTGTTTTTTTAAGATTTTTAAATTTATTCATGAAAGACACAGAAGCAGAGACACAGGCAGAGGAGAAGCAGGCTCCCTCTGGGGAGCCTCATGCAGGACTCGGGGATCAGGACCTGAGCCAAAGGCAGATGCTCAACCACTGAGCCACGCAGGTGCCTCTGGATGAAGTCCCTTAAGCATAGGGTGTGGGATGAGCAGAGGCCCTAGGAGTGGGCCCTGGGGAAAGCTGATACTTGGGCACTGAGCAGAGATGGAAGAGCACCCAGGCAGTCTAAGAAGGGACAGCCTGAGTGGCAGGAGGGAAACAAGCATGGGCTGCCTCGGAAGCAAGAGAGGAGCATGGTGAGGTCGGCAGCCGGACCCTGCTCAGAGACGCTGCTGAGAGACCAAGTTGCAGCCAGCGGTTGCTGAGGACAGCGCTGTGGGAGCAGGCTGGGGGAAGAGATGGAAGAGGAGAAAGGAGAGGCAACAATGCCAGACATCTGGTGTCCTGGGAAGGGACACAGGCAGCCTCCCACCACCCTCCAAACCTCCAGGAGCGGGGCTGTAGCCTGAGCTTTCCCTTTGCCAACACTGACCACAGGCACCATGTCCCCCCCCCAGAGACAGGTGGGCAGGAGCATGTAATGTGAAGTAGCTTCTCACCGAAGCAGAGCACCAGAAGAAAATGTGCACAAACTAAGAATGAGGCTTGGTACATGTGCACAGCCTGAACAAGCTGAGTAGGCAGCACGCAGAATGTCACCTCCACCCAGAGGCCCCTGGGGACAATCACTTGTTCTATCCAGTTCTGAGGTTTTATAAATGGAATTGCATAATATGTGGAGTATGAATGCCAGGTGACGACTTTGAATGCCAGGTGAGGAGACAACATTGCAACTAGGCCTGGATAGACCAGGATTGCATCACAATGGTGCAGGAGCTATGCCGAGTCTAACCTCTCTCTGCACGTGTGCCAGGAGGGTCACTTGAAGGGTGGCTCAGCAGTTCTGGACGAATGTGTAATTGCACACACTTTAATCTCCTTTCTTCCTCAAACTCACTAAAATTCTAGTAAAGAGACCAAAACAATGGGAAGAAAACTCTCCAGATTGAGAACAGAAAAGGATAACACCAAAATTTTGGAAGCTGGAGGGCACGCGGACAGCAGTTAACTACCTCAGTAGACATGAGAAAGCTGAGTTCAGAATGGACATCGGGACCAGCCAAGGCCCAACTTGGTTCACACCACCGAATCCTAGGGGGCCCAGCAGCTGGCAGCCTCCTCGCCTCTGCAACAGGGAGGACAGGACACAAGTTGGGGGTGGGGTGACAGTCAAGACCCCTACCTTGGAGCAACTGCCGCTCCCCTACCCTGCAGCCCACAAAGGGTTAGCCTCTGGGGGTGCCACACACGGGTGAGAACTGCAGAAAAACAGGTGTGCCTGCAAATGCTCCCCACGGTGGCCTTCAGGAAGGATACTAGGGAAACACAAGAAAGCCCTGCCCATCCCAATCCCCTGCATTGAAGCACCACTGATGTGCTCTGAGCATCAGTCTGCTCCTGCCCTCCTCCACCCCTGCTCCTAATCAAAGACCTGAGAAAAGCCTTTAGCATGGAAGATAGAAAACCAAACAACAACTTGGAAGAAGCTGACAAGGGAGAAAGAAACAACACACACCTATTAGCCTCTGAGGGGTAACCATGGCCATGAACAGCAGAAGGCTATGAAAAAAGTCCAGGGTAGAAAACGAGCTCTTGAGATGCCTGGGTAGCTCAGTGGTTGAACCCCTCCCTTTGGCCCAGGGTATGATCCTGGAATCCTGGGATCGAGTCCCACATTGGGCTCCCTGCATGGAGCTTGCTTCTCCCTCTGCCTATGTCTCTGCCTGCCTCTCTCTCTCTCTGTGTCTCTCATTAGTAAATAAATAAAATCTTAAAAAAAAAAAAAAAAAAAAACCCTGGGAGCAGAGGAAATTCCACAAGCTTCTAGAAAGAATAACTAGGTCTTGTCACAAGGATGAGGAATCCGAACACCTTCAAATTTCTCAAAGGCAGCCTAGGAGGCTAGAAAATAATACAGCCATGCTGTCAAAAAAAGAGTAATTTCCAATCTAGAATTTCAATCTAGAATCCGATACCCAGCAAAACTATCAGTCAAGTGTGAAGGCGGAATAAAGACGTTTCAGACTGGTGCTGTCCAAAATATGGACCTCCTGTGGCCCCTAGTTCAAAGAGCTATGGTGGGGGTGATGGACTACACCAAGCCATGAAAGAGGAAATGTGGGTTACAGGAAAGAGGTTGTAGGCAGGAGCGAGGCAAATGGGAGTCCCCAAAAGGGTGGCAGAGGAAGAGCTCAGGCTGAGGGCTGTGCACCCGACCAACAGGGCAACCAGCCCATCCTGGAGCCAGGTGACTCAAGAGACAGGCATGCTGAGAACCTGCCACCAACATCCCTCTGCCACTGTAACACTTTGATGCCCAAGTACAGTGCTAAGAGCCTAGCCTTGTCTAGACTTGGCTTAACCATGTAGTGAGGAACCTCTGCTCTCTCTTCTGTCCTGCTGCCCAGATCTTCTGAGGGCCTATTACACCCCAGAGAACTATCTTTTGCTTTGACCTATACCTGAGGGCTAACGGTGGGCGATTTTGTGCCTAGAAGCAGAAACCCAGGCAGCCCACTCATTCTGTGTTTTTGGAGATGTCTAGAACCTGATCTGCCCGGATGCCCTGAGTAAACCCTCATCACCTGACCCACGGACGTCCTGAAAAGAGCTCTTCTGGATGTGTGGCTCCTTTCCCACACACATTCTGAAGTGTCTTAGGTCCCCTGCATACACCCCCTGGTCTCACCTTGGCTCCAGCCGCTCCTTCACCTTGGCAATGGAGCGGACGTAGGGTGTGATCTGCTTGGTGAAAGTGGTCAGATATGCATTCTCTTGCTTCAGCTGGAGAAGGTCATGGAGCTGGGCTGTGGGGGCCAAGGCCAGAGCATTTGGTCTTGTCTTACTGGCTTCAGGTTTTTACTGTCAAGCTGGGCACCACTGAAATATCCCAACTACTTCAGCAATTGCCTCTTAAAGAGCAACCTAAGACTTGTGAAGGCATCCTGCTTACCTCACGTGCATCATTTTGGGGCATTAGTAATTGTGGGGCAAAGTCAAAGACTATGGGGAAGAGCACGGGAGCTTGTATCTGGTTAGTGGGTAACTGACTTCCTGCCCCGCCAGCTTGTGGGTTAGCTCCAGGACAGGGGTGCACCCAGCAGCGGTTTCCTAGGACCTTCGTAAATCTCCTGCTCGTTAGCCACCCGCTGGTAGGATTCCTCCCAAATCTGAAAGAGAAAGTGAGTTGGACGTTACAGATGGCCATGAGTTGGAATTTCCATTGGTGGCATTTCTGTCTTCTAGCGTCTCAAGGCCATAGGGTCCGAACTAGTTCACCCGGTTCTAGGAAGCAGAGACCCAGGATCCAGAGCCTGCCACACTAGTGTCTTCTGGTGGACCAGGCGACGGTCCTCTTCCTCTACCCCTTTCCTGTCTGTGGGTAGCCCATGTATAAGTGGGCAGGCAGAGCTGCAGTGGTGTTCGGTGCCTGGGGAGAGGGGCTTACCTCCTGAAAGACTGCTCTCATCCCCTCCAGGGCCGCGTACTCCGAGGCAATCTGTGCATCCACCTGCAGGGACCTGTGCAGGATGTCTCCCATGATCTCAGCCTTGATGAGTGAGTGGTGCTTGGTGAGGCCCCGGTGCAACTCTTGTACCTGGTCCTTCAGGTTCTGTATCTCTGCCTGCAGGCGCTGTGCACAGAGACCTGGTGAGCGCCTGTGGTTCCTGCAAGGCTGTGTTCACCATGGGGGCCAAGTGGCCAGGAAAGATTCGGCCACTGCACTTTGGTGAGAGGAAGAGGGGGGCAGGGCCTTTCCCAGCCTGCAGGTCTTTGGCCCCACTCACCTGGTAGGAGCCCTCATAGTGGCGGCAGTGCTCTGTGAACGCTGTGTCCTCCCCCTCTGCCAGCAGCACCTTGGTGCTGATGGACCGGTGCAGTGTGGGCTTTTGGACCAGCGACCCCAATGTCTTTCCCACTGGGGAAGGGCGGCTGGGCACCATCAACACCTTGGAGCCTGAGCCTGCTGCTAGCCTGAGGAGAGAGCTACTGTGAATGCAGTGGGGGGGGGGGGGGGAAGGGTCTCCTCCAGGCTCTCAGCCTCTTCCCCCTGGACTGCACACCACAACCACCCAGGAGCTCTAAAGACGCCTCTCTGCAAGGCCCACCGAGACCAAGGATGTCAGCGTGGTATTTTAAAAACTCCCCAGGGACATGTCAGTGTACGGACAAGAGTCCTGGCTGGAGAGTAAACTGTTCACTCACACGTGGGACTTTGGACATTTGGCCTGACGGCCTGTCTCCCTTGACTGGGGCCCTGGGGTCCCTGGCACATACATCCAGCTCAGGCATTTCTCTGAAGTCCTCCGGTGTCTCTGGCTCTCCAGACTGGGGCCCGGGTTATGCCTTATCCTAAGCCACCCCTTCCCTTCAGTCTCTACATGCTGCAGCCTGGTGGTGGAGACTGCAGTGGCCACTGGGGACAGCACCCAGGTCCTTCCCATCCTCTCCTAGCCAGGCTCTGCGTCAGGTCCCTAAGGGACTTCCAGTCTCTGGGGAGGGCGGCAAGCAGCCTGTCCCTGCTGTGAGGGGTACCTGGTGCCACCCCCACACCTCATTCTTATGGCAGGGAGGGCACCCCAGCTGCTCACATGTTGGTGCTGCTCCCAGCACCTGTCACCTGGTGAGGCCCCAGCAGCAGCAGTGGCTCCAGGCAGCGTGCAAACTCAGCGCGGTGGTCACTGGTGATCTGGGCGACAGGAGCAGGTGATGAGGTGGCTGTTTTGGCTGCCTCCCACCCACCCCTCAAGCCCACTCACCCCCCAAGCCCACCCCTTGCACTGCCCCTGTACCTTGCTATTTTGTGCTGGCCGGAGGCGCTGGGGACGGGTGACAATGCCCTGCAGCCTCTCCATCAGCTCCTGCAGCAGGAGGAGGATGCTCAGGCCAGTGTAGGAGTGAGGGGTGGGGGGCAACAGTGAAGCCCAGGGCCCTGAGGGCAAGGCTGTCTTTGGCACTTTACCTGCTGTGCACTGGGGGCTCCAGCCCTTCCCTGGGACCATCCCAGAACCCCACACCACCCCAGCCCCAAACCCCAGAGGAAAGTTGGGAGTGGCCGGACTCCAGTAGACGCTCCACACTTTGGGGGAGTAGAAGCTCATGCTCCTTTTCAGGCTTCGCTGTCCTTTTATTTTATTTTATTTTATTTTAAGATTTATTTATTTATTTATTTATTTATTTATTTATTTATTTATTGAGAGAGAGAGAGAGAGAGAGAGAGAGAGAGAGAGAGGCAGAGACACAGGCAGAGGGAGAAGCAGGCTCCATACAGGGAGCCCAACATGGGACCCGATCCCAGGTCTCCAGGATCACACCCCGGGCTGCAGGCGGCGCTAAACCGCTGTGCCACCGGGGCTGCCCTTCCCTGTCCTTTTATTTATTTATTTATTTTTTCCGCTGTCCTTTTAAAAGGGACACAGCTGCCCCCCAAATGGTTTGCAGATGATGGCATGGAGGAGGGGAAGGTAAGTGCAGAGAGCCCTGGTCCAGCCAAGTGGCAGGCTGCCAAGCCCTGAGGTGGCAGTCTTGAGTGTGCAGGGTGGGCTTCTGGTGGGAAGGGGGGAGACCTCAAGAGCTAGGGGGACTCACATAGCCCAGGTCCAGGAACTCAGCCTTACTGGCCAAACTGAGGAAGGAAGAGCAGATGACCAGGTGGACCTGTGGGAGGGACACCACTCAGTACCTGGCCAGGGGAGGGAGGCCTCCCAGCTGGGGTGCCCAGCCCTGTATCCCTGGTTCCCCTTACCTGCAGTGTGGGCAGTAGAGTGGCCAGGTGGGAGAGCTGGTCCTTGAAGGCCTTGTCCTTCTCTTCATATTGGCTGGGGGCAGGAGGAGTGGGGGGCAGGCAGGCTCATCTCCCAGGGGAGTGCTGCTCACCCCCACATAGTGGGGACCTCAGAAGCCAGAAGTTCCATCTCCCCACCACCTTTGTCCATCCTTCTCCATCACCACTTCCCTGCATCCTGAGTCACCCTGCCCTCCTCACCCAGAGGTCTTGCTCCCCAGGGTGGGGCAGGGTCTGCCCAGGTCCAGGCAGTGAGGTAGGCGTATAGAGCCAAGGCACAGGGGTGGAAACCCCATCACCACTCACCTCTGCACAGCCTGCAGCAACAGCATTTTCTTCTCTGCCAGTTTGTCCTGAGAGGGACAGCCGGCTTCTGACTGGGCATGCACCTGCCGCCTCCCAGCACTCACCCACTCCTGGGTCCTAGCTGCGCAGCTGGTTGGGCTGGCTGTGTCTCTGTCTCTGGCCGCCGCCGTTTCTGGCCTCTTAGCTTTCCCTTCCTGCATCCCACCACCTGAGAGCCCTGGTGCCCTCACCTGAAATGTCACCTCCTGGGGGAAGCCTCCCACCCCTCCCCACTAGCACCACCTGGGGGTGGAATTCATCTGGCCACTGTGCCCAAGTAACCCCTGGAAGTAGTTCTGTGCCTGCTACCCTGCTACACAGTGAACCCCACAAGGCCAGGTTGGGGGGGGGGATTGTGGGTACCAGGTCATGGCTGATGAGGATGCTCAGCCCATGGGGTCCAGTCCCCACTACCCTCACCTGCATGCTGCCGAATAGGGCATGGATGGCGGCCTCCTCCTCCGCTGCACTGCGCCGCACCTCCTCTACCATGGCCTGCAGCAGCGCGATGGCCTCCCGCGTGGCGGTCTGCAGGGCCTTCACGGCCTGGCAACAAGGCGACCTCAGCCAGGCAGGTGCGCACATCCCGGGCTCCCGGCGCGCTGGGTACCCCACGCTCACCAGCACCGCCTGCTCCAGCCGCTCGCAGCCCTGCACGTATGCTGACTCGAGGTCCACGCAGTGCGCCCGGCTCTCCCTGCGGGGAGCCCGCGCATGAGCCCAGCTCACGGCCACCCTAGAGCCCCCTTGCCTCCCGCGCCCTCTACCCACCCCTGCATGTCCCGGAAGCAGCGGATGCACAGCAGCGACTTCTTGTCGGTGGAGAACATGATGTAGGGCTCTGCGTGCAGCGCTGCGGTGGGAGCGCCAGTGAGGGCTCCGGCAGGCCCGCCACAGTCAGGCCCCCGCAGGCCCCACGGGCACGCCACGCCGCACTCACTGCACTTCTGGAGCACGTCGCGGCTGCGCTGGCCCAGGGCCACGATGTCATGGCGCGCGAACATGCGTGCTTGGTGCGTCTCCTCGCGGCAGCGCGCGCACAGTGGCTGCCCACACGTGTTGCAGAAGTACGTGGTCTCCGCATCCTAAGGACGGAGGACCGAGCGCGGCCTCAGCGGGCCCTCGGGCTGCTGGGGAGCCTGAGCCCGCACCAAGCAGTCTCAGCCTGGGGCAGGCACGGCTACAGGTGGCCGTCTCCTGCGAGCCCCACGCTCTAATATACCCCGTTTACAGATGAGAAGAGACAGGGAAGGGGTGGGGACCGAAACAGTTCACCTACAACAAACTTTCTTGCTTGAAGGCTTTCCAAGCCCTCCTTGGCACCCTCAATAGTGGCCAGATGAAAGTGTCCACCCCGGCCACATGGAGTCACACATGGCTGGGAGAGAAAAGGGAACGAGGGTCTATTGTTTCCCTTCCCTAGGCCAGAGCCAGGGTGGGGAGTCCAGGTCTTGGACCGGAGCTGTGACTTTGACCCCAGTAGTGGCTATGAGAGCACAGACCCCAATTCCTTACTTTGGCATTCAAGGCCATTTCCTCCCCTATTCTCCCTACCTTCAGCCCCTAACCTCCTGCTGGTTGTTTCTATCCTGTTAGATCTCACTCATCCCAGCACTTGCCCAGCACACTCCGAACGTTTGTGCCTGCAGCACTGTCCCCCTGAGACTTGGGATACCCAATCTGGCTTCCACAGGTCAGATTCTGGAAGCCCGGCCTCTGCTCCTTGGTCTTTTATAGACTCAAGGGGTGGGCAGGAACACCCCTTCCCAACAGCACATTGTCCTCCCTTCCCCTTGGGCTGCAGGTAGCTGTGGATAGCTCCCCAGGTAGCAGAGGCCCTCAAGGACAGACTCAAGCCAGAGCACTGGACTGCCCTCCCTTGGCCAGGCCTCAATACCACCCTGGGTTGGGGACCAGTAATCGAATGACTTTAAACTCTGCCACTATCTGGCTAGTGTTTCAAGTCACTTATTCTGGACCTCAGTCACCCCACCTGTAAAATGGGGCCCACATTTGGGATGTTTTGGAGAATCCACTGACAGACAACCATCTAAGGACATGTTGGGCACACACTGGGAGCATCAGGATTGTCAAAACTGGCCCCCTTGTTCCAGCCCACCCCCAGCCATCCCTGCCTGCTTAGTGCACTCCAGGTCACAGTTGGCACAGTGCACCACCTCCGTGCCATCCCCTGAGCTGGCCACCAGGAACTGCAGCAGCCGATCCACCGGAGGGAGCCCGCTGGGGCCCTTCACCGCCGTCTGGTGTCTGTGGAGAAGCTGCAGCCAAGATCCAGATGCCCCTTCCCAATGGCTCCCTATCACCATTCCCACCCCCCACATTCCAGGTTGGAACTAAAAATAGGGTGGGGCATCTGCTATAAATAGCTCAGCTAGTGCTCACTCTGACTCTGTCCCTCCCTCTGCCCAGTCCTGGGTGAATCCTGGGGGCTTTGGGGTTGGCAGCCTGGGATGTCAAAGGTAACCCCCCCACCAGCACCCCCTCACTGCATTGCACAAATGTAAGGACGCCACTTGTAACTTGAGCCAACATAACCTGTTTATGTTGACCTAAGACTCAAGGGATCCCTGAAGTGAATTTCTGGGAGCGTTATAACTGCTGTGCTGCTATCCTGTACTGCACCTGTACTGCACCAGCATTGCGACCTGACAGGATCCGGGTTCTAGCCTCCCTCTTGCCTCCTGGCTTTCTATGGAGGGCCTTTGGCCAGTCACTGTGGACCTCCGTGAGCCTGCTCTGTATAATGGGCGGGAGCCCGTGCATTCTAGTGCTGAGGGGTGCGAGCCAGGTGCAGCTGGGAGTCAGAGCCTTGCCGGCCCTGCACCTGTTCCCCAGCCCCACGGAGCCAATCTTCCCAGGGTAGGGTGGGGTGTCCGTTGGGGCTTTGAGGCACTCACTGGCACAGCGGGCAGGCGAGACGACCGTCGGTGGCGCGGCCGCGCAGGCAGCCGGCGCAAAAGTCGTGGAAGCAGTCCAGCAGGCAAGGACGCTCGAACTGTGCGTGGCACAGCGGGCACACCAGCGGGTGGCCGCTCGCGGCGTCCAGGGCACCCAGGCCGTCCAGGGGCGCGAAGATAGCGCCCGACATCTTCTGGGAGAGCTCAGGAAGGCGGCGGACGTGCCCGGTGCGGGGACCGGCTGCGGAGTCCGCCAGCGCCCGGCCACCCTGTCCTCCTCCGCCTGCGCGCGGCTCCCTCTTCTCTACCTGGATCCGACGGGGCATGCAGCGATCGTGGAGCGGGAAGCAGCTAGGCCCGGGCTGGGGTCTGGAGCGTCCAGAGCAGGGAGAAGGGGCAGGGGGCGAGCGGAGGGGTCCTGTGCGGGCGCCCCTCCTCTCCGCACCCCTTCGGTGGTCCTGGAGGTCGGGCTGCAGGACCCGGCAATGCGTCCCGGCCTATCCAACGCCTAACCTCTCCAATTTCCACTTCGCCTTCCTCGCCTCACTCCCACCTCAGGAATTCCCGTCCTGGTGTCCTCTGGGTGACCTGCAGGCGACACCCCTTCCGTGCGGGGCCGCAGCATTGCCCGGGCGTGGTGTCCTGCCCACCCTTTCCAGGCCGGCCGCTGCGCCCAGCTAGGGATCCTGCCGCAGAGCCGAAGGCGGGGCTGGAAAGAAGGGGGCGTGGGTCCGAGGCTAGGACTGGCCCTCGCCCGGGATGATGGAGCCGGGACCCCGACCTCCAGTCCGCAGGAGCGCCGCACGGGGCGGGACCCGACCACCCAGACTCCGGGCTCTCCAGGGGTGCGGAGGCACCCTGGCTGGGCCGGCTCTCTCCCTGCGGACTGGAGTTGGGACGCGAGTGGGTCAGCGGGTCCCCATTTAGTCCTCGGCCAATCCGGGGCGCCAGGGAGCAGCGACCGCCTCTCTGCAGACAGCGGGTGCTGGAGAGAGCGTGGGGGCAGGCGCGGAATCCCAGGCCGGCCCCTGGCTGGTTGGGGTCCCTAGGCCAAGTCACTGACCTCTCAGAGCCCCAGAGCTTGGGTGAGTCAGGGCCGGCCTCTTGGTGCTGCGCCTGAGTTTAATGAAGTGAAACGCGCCTACTAGGCTTCTAAATAATGAAAGCCCCAACCCCCATTACCATCCGAGTTCCCAAAAAGAAAGGCTGGGCGTGGGGCACCTGGAAGGCTCAGAGGTTGAGTGTCTGCCTTCAGCTCAGGTCGTGATCCCAGCGTCCTGGGATCAAGTCAGGCATTAGGTTCCCCACAGGGAGCCTGCTTCTCCCTCTGCCTAGGTCTCTGCCTGTCTCTCATGAATAAATAAATAAAATCTTTTTTAAAAAGGGGCTGGGCTTGGGAGAGAGAGGAGGTTCTGAGCTTTTTCTGGCAGGTCTCCCTCTGCTGTTCTTGGCCTGGCTAGTGCTTGTTTATCCCAGAGTGATTTTCTCCAGAGTGCCTTCCATCCTTATGTCATTATCTGCCTTCTCTGCACGTGTAAACCTGAGCTCTGGGAAAGCAGCCTCTGTCTCTGCATCTCTTGAAATCAGTCAAGCTGAGAGCCTGACCCACAGAAGGTTCTCAGTAAAGTCTTACGAAAAAGTTAGGAGATAATATTCAAGCTGGGTTTTGAAGGATGAATAGGAGTAGGAGTTTGACAGGGAAAGAAAAGTGAATTCTAGATTCACTTGTTCTCTCAAGGGTTCCCAGGTTGCATTCGTGCTCCAAGCAACAGTAACTGTCATAACATAATGGCTAATGTTGGGCCAAGATACTATTCAAAGTTCTTTTTTTTTAATTTTTATTTATTTATGTATGATAGTCACAGAGAGAGAGAGAGAGGCAGAGACACAGGCAGAGGGAGAAGCAGGCTCCATGCACCGGAAGCCCGACGTGGGAATTGATCCTGGGTCTCCAGGATCGCGCCCTGGGCCAAAGGCAGGCGCTAAACCGCTATGCCACCCAGGGATCCCCTCAAAATTCTTTTACTTGTATTAACTCATCTAATCCTGACAACAGCCTTAGAAAGTAGAAAATATTACCCAAGTAAGTGGGAGAGCTGGTATACAAAACTGGAAGGGGCTTTATAAATGAATTATGAGGTAGTTTCCCTCTGGAGGAGCAGTAGGAGATGGATGTTCGTTCCTGATACATGGGCTTATTTCACCCATCCATTCTTGTCTTCATCTGTTACCAGCAGAGCTATAGGCCATGCACATGGGAGGCAACACAGTGGCCAAGGTTAACCAAGTGTACAAATAGACAAATACAATAATGACAGATTGTGCTAAATGCTCCAAAGAAAATAATCAGGATGATGTGAAGGAGGGCAGCCAGGAGAGGTGGAGCTGAGGGCACACTAGGTAATCATGGGCAGGGAGTGGCATGGAGCCTGAGACCTGGCAGGATGAGAAGAAATCAGACACAGGAAAAGCCAGGAAGAATTCATAGCAGAGGGAGCAACAGATGCAAGGTCCCAGAACCTGGGATAAATGTTGAACAAAGCAAAGTAGACCCACCTGTGTGGAGACTCAGGGACTCAGGATTGGTGTGGGGCTGAGGGTGGAGGGGGTAGGGTGAGGGGCATGGGTTTCAGTGTGGGAAGAAGAGTAAGGGGTGGAGTGAGGTCATGGGGGTAAGGGTGGCCTACTTGATTGACATTCTAGACTAGAGATATCTAGGAGGCCACTGGTCGTATGTCTCAGGAGTCCAGGGAGGGGTAGAGGCTGCACACACAGGCATGGCAAATTGTATTTCAAGGCATGATCTTGGGTCATACCAAAGATCAAGTGCATATAAAGATGAGGGGAACTCTGTGCCCTTCAGCCCATCAAGTCCAGGGAAGAGGAAGGAGCAGCAAGGGGATGGAGAAGGAGTGGCCAGTGCGGTGGGAAGAGAACCAGGAGAGCCCCAGGTCCTGGGTCCCAGGGAAGAAAGGTCAGCAAGGAAGAGGGAGTGATCTACAGTATCTGATGCTGCTAAGGAAGCAGGAAGAGGAGGATGGAAACCCGACCCCAGTCTAAGACTGGTGGACATCACAAGAGACCTTGATGAGAGCTGTTCCCAGTGCTGGGGGCAAAGGCCTGACCAGTGTAGGTTCAACAGACAAAGGGAGGACAGTGCACAGAGGCAACTCTCCCAAGAAAATTGGTGTAAAGAGACTGTCTTAGGTTATTCAGGCTGCTGTCACAAAATGCCACAGACTGGGTGGCTTTAACAGCAGAAATTTCTCACCATTCTAGGGCTGGAAGTCCAAGATTGAGGTACAGTCAGATTTGGCTCCTGAGGAGAGACCACCGCCCTCTTCGTGGTTTGTAAGTCAGCCATGTTCTCACTGTGTCCTCACACAGTGGAGAGAGTCAGATCTCAGATCTACTTTATTTATGCATTTAATTAATTAAGTAATCTCTATACCCAATGTGAGGCTTGAATTCAAGACCTGGGTGGGGGTCAGGAGTCCCCCTCTCCATGGACTGAGCCAGGCCCTCCTCAGGTCCATTTTTCCAGTATGCGGGTGCCAATCCCATCATGGAGCCCCACCCTCATCTAAACCTAATCAATCACCAAAGGCCCTGCCTCCTCATACCATCACTTTGGGCACTGGGGCTTCCACTCTGAATTTTAGGAGGATGCATTCAGTCCATTGCAGGGAGGAAAGAGAAGGGCTGGTAACTGATGGGAATATTAGGAGGTCAAGAGATTGTTTTTTTTTTTTTTTTTAAGATAGACGTTATTAAAAAATGGTAAATCCCCAAGTGTCAGGCTGGTCTCAGATGGGATCAAGGGGTGGGGTGGGGATGGGGGGGTGCTTTGATATTTCTGGGTGGTTAGAAGTGGAGGTGGAAGTGTCTGAATATTCTCTTTGAATTGCTTCTGTTTCCAAAGAAAAAGCAATGTAAGTCATCAGCTGAGAGGGAGGCTGGGGAAAGATGGGCTGGTAATTTGACCAGAGTTGGGAAATACTCACTTAGGAGAGGATGGTTAGGATTGTCAGGCAGCCCCAAGGGCTTGCTGGGGTTAGGGGTTGTATCGGCGAGGAGAAAGCACACCAATTTTTTAATAGAATTTAATGTAAAGGATTGTTAACTAGGCATAAGGACTGGCAAAGTACGTATTGGAAGGGGTAAAATAGGAGCAGTACCAACGGTAGGAAGTAGCTACCACTTCTAAGGCGGTTTTAGTAAAATGTAGATGCTTAAAGAAGGGGCCCCAGGGAGCTGGTATCTTAGGATGGGAGGTGTGCTGCTGGGTTGGGCTGGGGTCTCTGGGTAGAAGAAAATGAAGCTGGTTCAACAGGTTTTGGATTAATTGTAAAGTAGATTCAACTACTATTTCTGGAATGTTCCATCCAACTTCCTTTTTTCCCCCCATCCAACTTCCATTACCAGGATGAAGAAGCAAAAGTGGGTGACATTGACAGAAGAGGAACACACGGGAAGCAAACAGGATGAGGTCTTTCCACCCCTGCAGTCTCCCCTCCAGCTCCCCATTGAAAGAACTTACCCAGCAGCAGCTGGCAAAGCACGAATGGGGTTTGCAGTCAAGAATGCCAGGATGGGTTTGGTACTTGGTCAACTGGCACCATATGCTGGAGTTTAAACCTAGACCAGTCAGAGCTGTGTGTTTCTGGGATTGGATTCCTGCCAGATGACAGTGCAGCCAGGTGAGGGGAGTGCTGGACGCACATGCAACTGCGTGATTACAGCAAAGGACCCCAGGATGTAACTGGAAAGGACAAGAGGGGGTGAGAGTGGGAGGAAGGCAGTCCCAGCAATGGATGCTAGGCCTGGGACGAAGACCCTAGCTACTCAACCTGCGGTACACAGAATGCCACCTGCAGCAGCACATCTACTGGGAGCTTGTGAGAAATGCAGAATCTCAAGCCCCTGAGACCCACTGACTTGGAATTTGCATTTTGGACAGATCCCCAGGGGATTCCTGTCGACCTGCCAGTTTGAGAAGCGCTGGCATGAGAGGTTTGGAGCTGGGAACCTGGAAGGAAGGAGCTGGAAAGCTGGCGGGGGGGGGGGGGGGGCGATCGGAGGGTGGGCGGCTTGCATTCGAGATGGCCATGGGGTCAAACGGGAGAGTGCCCCGGATTGCAGCAAAGAAGGCTAGCCCTGGGAGGTAGGGCCCTGGGCACCAGCTTCAAGGCTGGGCTCCACTCGGGCATTAGCATCCCAGGACCAGAAAGGGATGCTCACCTCCCCCAAGTTGGTGGGTTCCACTCCCCCAAGTTGGTGGGTTCCACTCCCATCCCCCCAGCTGGCGAACTTCCCTATTTCTTTTCTTTTTCCAAAACTTTCCAAAGTAGAGCGAACCCCTTCCTTTCTCTTTGGGCTCGTCTAGGCAGTCTAGCGCCCCCCCTCCGATAGCAGTGGGACAGGCCACCCAGCCTCCTTCCTCCCTTCCGCTCCCCGCCCCGCCCCCCCCACCCCCAGGCTTACCACGAGACGGGCTTCGCACTCAGGCAAAAGCAATCGCTCCCCGATCGTACAGAACACGGCGACCCGGCAGCGGCCGAGGGGCGTGGCCGAGCGATTGGTACGGCCTGAGCCGTGCGTGCTCTGCGCGCTGCGGGCCCTTTGCGTCTGCGTAGTGCGCCCACCTCCCTTTCTGCCTCCGCTGCCGCCATGGCGCCCGTGGTTAGTATGGCTCCGCGCGAGGCCTCGGCTCTGGGGCAGGCACGTGGGCCGCGCTGGCCCGGCTCCTGCTCGGCCCGCACGGGACGGCGCTCTGCAGAGTCCGGCCGGGGCTGGGCTGGCAGGCCGGCAGGAGCGGGCCGGGGCCGCCCGCGGGCCCAGCACGTTGTG